TTTTGTTTGGGGTCACACCCTTCGATGCTCAGGGGTGACTCCTGGCTCTGTGCTCAGGGGTTATTCCTGAGAGGCTCAGAGGACCACATGGGATGCCAAGGATCGAACCCTGGTCAGCCACATGCAAGGCAAGCATCTATCCACTGCTTTATTGCTGTGGCCCTACTGCTGATCAGTTTTATTTGTAAAAACATCCCATTTTAGCTTTCTATAGTGAAAGAGGGGGGTAGGGACTGCTCGGGGACTGGGGGTCTCACCTACCAATACACGGTCCCCCAGGCCGGACAGAAACACAGCCACATGCTGCTCTCGAGTCCCACCCCAACCAGACCCCACAGCACAGGGACAGTCAGAGGCTGGAAACACAACACAAGTGCCGGCACATGCAAGTCACACGCTCCTCCGCCCTGAGTCCTCCTCCAGACCCCAGCCCGTCCTAACTCATTTGAGCAGCATCAGTTTCATTCTGTTCACTCCCTCTGGATTTTCCCTCTTTCTCAACAATCGGGTTTATTAGTGGCTTTCCCTTGGGTTACTTTGGGATAATTACGTACGCTAATGAAAATGCTCAAATCATTCTCATACCCGAGCATATGTTATCTAAAATATGGACTGTGACAACACCCAATAGGAGAGATAGAACAAAAGGGACTGCCCTGCCACAGAGGCAGGGTGGGGTGGGGGGGGGGTGGGGGGTGGGAGGGATACTGGGATCCGTGGTGGTGGGAAATGGGCACTGGTGGAGGGATGGGTGTTTGATCATTGTATAATTGAAACCCAAGCACAAAAATTTGTCAGTCTACAGCTGTACCTCATGGCGTCTCACTAATAAAAATTTTTAAAAATATATCAGAAAAAAATAATAAAATAAAAATATGGACGGTGGGGCTGGAGAGAGAATACCGCTTGCTTGCATGTGGCCAACCCGGGTTCGATTCCCAGCATCCTACGTGGGCCCCTGAGCATAACCAGGAGTAACTCCTGAGTGCAGAGCCAGGAGTAACCCCTGAGTATCGTCGGGTGTGACCCCAAAAGCAAAAATAAATAAATACATAAGAATAAAATATGGACGGTACAATATATTCTTTCCAGACTCTATCCCAGTTAAGCAACACAAGAAAGATTCTCAAGAATGAAGGGGTGACCAGGGTATTTTCTCTCTGAGGGCCAGAGCAATAGCCCAGCAGGTGAGGGGTTTGCCTAGCACACGGCTGGATGGGATTGATCCCTGGTATTCCATAGGATCCCTAAGTTGGCCAGGAGTGATCCCTAGATACTTCCAGGTGTGGTCCTAACACAACAACGACAAAAAATATTTTCTTTTTGTTTCAGGAAGTAAATTTCCGTCTGGCCGAGACTTCAGGGATTTTGCTATGAGTCAAACGGTCTGTGTGCTCCTTACCTTGTAGACTTCTTTCATCGTTTCCAACAGAGCTTTGAGGGTGTCTTGAAGGTACCATGGCCAGTGACCTATTTGATAGATGAAGGTGGTCTTGAGCATCTGGACCAGTGTGTTGAGAGTAGACTGTGGCAATGACTTCCACAACCGCTCTGTGTGTGCAAAATCAACCTTTAAGTAGGAGCCCTCCAGATAGAGAAGGGAGCACCAAATAAAGGATGTTGGGAGGGTCCTCTCAGGATGGGAGATGCATGTTGAAAGTAGACTATGGACTGAATATGATTGCCACTCAATGCCTCTTTTGCAAACCACAACACCCAAAAGGAAAGAGAGAACAAAAGGGAATGCCCTGCCACAGAGGAAGGGTGGGGTGGGGGGGATGGGGGCGAGAGGGATGCTGGGACCCATGGTGGTGGGAAATGGGCACTGGTGGGGGGATGGGTGTTTGATCATTGTATAATTGAAACCCAAGCACAAAAATTTGCAAGTCTACAACTGTACCTCATGGTGTCTCACTAATAAAAATTAAAAAAAAAAAAGTAGGAGCTCTCAGGGCTGGAGAGATAGCACAGCAAGTAGGGCATTTGCCTTGCATGCAGCCGACCTGGGTTCGATTCTCAGCACTGCCAGGAGTAACTCCTGAGTGCAGAGCCAGGAGGAACCCATGTGCATTACCAGGTGTGACCCAAAAAGTAAAAAAAAAAAAAAAAAGTAGGAGCTCTCAAAAACAAAAAAAACCCAAACTTCTGCTTTCACCAAGTTTGTTAAGGTAAGAAATCAGTCTTTTCCATTTCCTGTGGCATGACCCCTAAAAAAACAAAAAACACTCGCCATTGTGGTAAAACATGATTTTCATTAAGTATGACTGGAATTCAGAACTCAAACTCCGGATTCTGAATAACTGTCCTCTTAATTCATGCTTGTGCAAGATTAATGATTGTGTCCACTATTCTAAAATGGAAAGATATCTATAAAGTCTGAAAGCATGCACACGCATAAGCAACCACAGAAACTGTCATCAAAAGACAGCCTCTGTCTGTACAAAACAGCACCGTTCGTGTTTTCAGACGTTATGAGCATTTCTTAAATTAGCCCAATAACCATATTTAATATAACTATGGCGACAACTTGACAGGGGGCTTGTGTTCTGGCCACACCCAGTGGTGCTCAGAGGCCACTCAGGACCACAGACGGAGCCCAGAGAAAGCATGCAGCCTGCTGTGCTCTCTCCCCAACCCCAACCTGGATTGTTACAGCTTCAAAGGACAACTGTACACTAGCAGGAAGAAGCATCATTCAGTAAACGTACTGAGAGAACTGGAAGCATCCAGAAAAATAATCTAGTGAGAATGAATTTCAGGACTGGAGATGTAGCTGAAGGGACCAGGACAGTGTGTGAGGAGGCATGGCTGTGGTCCTCAGCACCAGAAACAGCCCACGGAAAAGGACGAACTCGAGATGCCGTGTGCAAGGCAAACACAAAAATGGGGGGCCAGAGAGACAGGACTGCAGGTAGGATGCTTGCCTTGCATGTGGCTGACCTGGGTTCAATTCCCAGTACCGCATATGGTGCCCTGAGCCCCACCAGGAATGATCTCTGAGCACTGTGAAACGTTGAACCATCAGGCTAGCACATTTGGGGCTGATTATCACCAAGAGGGACCCTAGACCTCCTAAGAGGGGCTTGAAGGACCCAATAAACTGGATGAGTTAATTAACAAGGTATCAGCCTCTTGTTCACTGCACTTGTTAATACCTTACTTGTTAATCGCACTGCACTCAGGGGTCATTCCTGGAAGTGGGGGGGTGAGGCCGGTTTGGACCATATGAGGTGAAGAATCCAATCTGTTGGTGGCATGCACGACAAGTTCCCTCCCCACTGTACCATTTTTCCAGCCTCCTAAAATAGTGATGATTTGATAGCACAGAGGGTAGGGCATTTGCCTTGCAAGAGGCCAACATGACCGACCGGAGTTCGAATCCTCCACCCCTCTCGGAGAGCCCGGCAAGCTACCGAGAGCATCTTGCCCACACGGCAAAGCCTGGCAAGCTCCCCGTGAAGTATTCAATATGCCAAACACAGTAACAAGTGTCACAATGGAGACGTTACTGGGCCCGCTAGAGAAAATCGATGAACAATGGGAGGTCAGTGACAGCAATTAAAATAAACAACCACATGTAAGGCAGAGCTAGAAGTTAGTCCTGACAACTGCTAGGTGTGGCCCAAAATTAAAAAAATAAAAACTAATTTTTTTAAATAAAACAATAAAAATTATACAAAGAGCTTGAGAAAAAAAATTTTTTTTTTTTTTGCTTTTTGGGTCACACCCAGCAATACACAGGGATTACTCTTGGTTCTACACTTAGGAATTACTCCTGGCGGTGCTCAGGGGACCATATGGGATGCTGGAAATCGAACCCAGGTTGGCCGCGTGCAAGGCAAACGCCCTACCCGCTGTGCTGTCGCTCTAGCCCCAGAAATTTTTTATTTAACTTTAGAGTGAGGAGGAATAGATACTCAATCATTGTATGACTGAAACCTAATCACTAAAGTTTGTAAATCTGTAACTGTATCTCATGGTGATTCATTAAAAAAATTAAAAAAAAACACAGAAATGCATCTGGACCCTGCAGCAGGTTACTATCGCTGGGCCACCCAGGAGGGAAAGCGTGCTGTCCCTCTGCCTGATCCCCCTTGGCGGCTCGGTGGCCGCCATCCACCAGAGGCCACTGGACAGTCAGGTTTGGGCCCTCAATGACAAGAGGGATGGGATGGGGGTGGAGCTGGCCCTTTCCTCCCGTCCCAACAAGATCCCGAATCGCCACCCATAAAGGGCCTTTCTGGCTGCTCAGATCAAGCTGCTTAACAGCCATGATCTCAGAGATTCAGAAGCAAATCTTGGAACCCAGCAGGTTTTGGCAGAAATCCCTCCAGGTTTAAGTGTTAAAATTTTGGAACTTCAAAATTGCGCAGCCACTACTGCAGTCACGTGACATCATATGTTATTCATAACCAGCACTAGAAAACAAATTGTCTACTGTTGCCTTTTCAGCAGATCTGAGTGTTGGGGTAGAATCCCAGATAATAGTGGTGGGTCTGGTGTCAAAATATTGAATGTAATCAAAGTAGAGAGAGAGTAATGTGGAGATCATCTGCCCCACAGGTAGGGGGAAGGTGTGGGATGGGGGTATACTGGGGTTTTGGGTGGTGGAGAATGGGCACTGGTGAAGGTACGGGTGTTTCATTGTATGACCAAGACTTAAACCCGAAAGTTTTGTAACGGTTCTCACAGTGATTCAATAAATAAAATTATAAAAAATGAAAAAAAAGTAAGGTGGAGTTCATGCCCAATTCAATCAGCTAATTAGTGACTGAATAAATATCAGTACTCCTACATTAAAAAATAGTAATAAAATTTTTAAAAAATAAAAGTAATTGTGTGTGGGATAATTACTAAGAATAAAATATTTTAATAACCAAAAGAAAAAAGTTTTTTGGGGCCAGTGTGATAGTACAGCAGGTAAGGTGCTTTTCTTGCATGTGGCCAATTCAGGTTTGATTCCTGCATCCCATATGGTCCGCTGAGCATCACCAGGAGTGATTTCTGAAAGCAGATCCAGGAGTAACCCCTAAGCATTGGCAGATGTGGCCCACAAACAAACAAATAAACCAACATTGTTGGACTGGAGAGATAGTACAGCAGGAAGGTACTTGCCTAGCACAAGGTTGACCCTGATTTGATCCCTGGCTCTTTACATTGTCCACTAAACACCCCCCAGGAGTGATCTCTGAGCACAGAGTCGGGAGGAGGCCCCAATGATCATTGGGTGTAGCCCAAAAGACCCTTCTCCTGAGAGGAGGAATTTCTAGGTGTTGTTATGCAAAGACTATTTTTCAAAGGTTACACAAGAATCTATATTGTGTAAGTATTTTCCTAGAGGATAACCAAGTGTCATATTTTGCTGGGCATATATAAGCTTTATTCCTGGTAATCTAAGGACCTTGAATTATAAAAGGGAATTCCACAGTATTAAATAAAATAAAGAATAAGAATACAAAGTTGAATGTTTTAACAATTTGACCAGACATCAAACTGTTTTTCATGAGCTCTGGTGAAGATGTCTAAAGTTTTAAGTCCACATCAACCAAAAGTTTTAAAGTATGTATTAATCTCGACTCAATTCTTTCTTCTTTTGTGGGGAGGTGTTTTTGGTGCCACACCTGGCATGCTCAGGGGTTACTCTTGTGTCTGCATTCAGGAATTAACTCCCGGCAGGCTTGGGAATGCAGGGGGTCAAACCTACGTCTGCCACAAATGAGCAAAGGAAATGCCCTTCTGGCTGTACTGTTGGTCTGGCCCCTCAATTGGATTTTTTCTATAGTCTCTAAAGTCTGCTGTAAAGGTCTAGTATAAGAATGACCCTTGCTACACGGTTGCCTGTTCTCACCGCTTCTATTCAAAGTACTGGAAGTACTTGCCATAGCAGTGAAGCATGAAAAAGATAACAAGGGCCTTCAGATAGGAAAGGAAGGAGTAGAGCTATCACTATTTGCAGATAGCATCATTCTATACTTGGAAAATCCTAAAGACTCTACAATAAAGTTCCTAGAAACAATAAGTTTGCATAGTCAAGTGTCAGGTTGACTATACAAAATCAATACACAAAATTCCATGGATTTCCTATATATGAATAATAAAAGAGAAGAAAGTGATATAAAAATAAAACAATTCTGTTCATAATTATGCCTCAGAAAATCAAGTACCTCAGAGTCAGCTGACCTATAGAGGTGAAGGACATGTACAAAGAAAAGTGCAAAACCCTACTCTGAGGGAAAAAAAAAGAACACGAGTAAGTGGAGACACATCCCCTCCTCATGGATCTGGAGGATTAACACTGTCAAAATGGCAATACTCCCCAAAGTATTATAAGATTCAATGTGATCCCTATAAGGATACCCATGATGTTTCTCAAATAAATAGGTAAGACACTCTTGAAATTCATAGGGAACAATAAACCTCCATGAATAGCTAAAGCAATCCTTGGGAAAATGAAGATGGGAGGCATCACCTTCCCCCAACTTCAAACAGTACTACAAAGCAGTAGTAATTAAAACAGCATGGTATTGGAATAAAGACAGAACCACAGACCAATAGAATAGACTTGAATATCCTGACACAGACCTCAAATATATGGCAACTTAATCTTTGATAAAGTGGCAAGAAATATGAAGTGGAGCAAGAAAAGCCTCTTCAACAAGTGGTTCTGGGAAAACTGGACAACTATGTGCAAAAAAAATTGAACTCGGACCTCTTTCTAATGTCAAGCACAAAAGTCAGATCAAAATGGATTAATGACCTCAATATCAAACCTGAGTCCATAAGGTTTACTGAGAAAAATGTAGGCAGAACTCACTATGACATTGAAGCTAAAGTCATCTTTAAAGATGAAACCACTGACCAAGCAAGTGGAAGCAAAGATAAACAAACAGGAGTACATTAAACTGAGAACTTCTGCACCTCAACAGAAACAGTGACCACCTCAACAGAAACAGTGACCAAGATGCAAAAACAGCCCATGGAATGGGAAAATATTATTTACCCAATACCCATCAGATAAGGGGTTAATTTACAAGATATACAAGGCACTGGTAGAACTTTACAAGAAAAAAAAAAACAACCACCCCATCAAAAAACAGGGAGAAGAAATGAACAAAAACTTCCTCAAAGAAATACAAATGGTCAAATGGCACATAAGAAGATATTCTACATCACTAATAATCAGGGATATGCAAATAAGAACAACAATAAGATATCATCTCACACCACAGAGACTGGCACACATACAAATGAACAAGAACAACCAGTGCTGGTGCGGATGTGGGGAGAAAGGGACTCTCCTTCACTGATGCTGGGAATGCCGACTGGTCCAGCCTTTTTTGAAAACAATATGGACATTCCTCAAAAAAGTAGAAATTGATCTTCCATGTGACCCAGCAATACCAATTTTGGGAATATATCCTGGGGGCATAAAAACACACAACCGAAAAGTCATCCGCACCCGTATGTTCATTGCAACACTGTTCACCATAGCCAGACTCTGGAAAAAACCCAAGTGGCTGGTTAAAGAAACTATGGTACCTCTACACAATGGAATACTACGCAGCTGTTAGGAAAAATGAGGTCATGAAATTTGCTTATAAATAGATGGACATGGAGAGTATCATGCTGAGTGAAATGAGTCAGAAAGAGAGGGACAGTTATAGAATGACTGCACTCATTTGTAGAATTTAAAAAAAAAAAAGCACCATGGTATGACATTCTACATACCCAAGGACAGTAGAAACAAGGGCCAGGAGGATGGGTTCACAGCTGAAAACATGACTTAGGATTGGGGAGAGGCAATTGGGATAGAGAAGGGATCACAATGTCAATGACAGTTGGAAATGATCCCTCTGGATAAGAACTGTATGATTCCTTTACCTGCATGAAAGTAGGTAAAGGAACAAACTTGGTAACCTCTCAGTACCTGTATGGCAAACCACAGTGTCCATAAGAGGAGAGAGAGAGAGAGAGAGAGAGAGAGAGAGAGAGAGAGAGAGAGAAAGGTGCCCGCCATAGAGGAAGGCTGGGGGTAGTGGTGGGGGTGGGGGAAGGGAAACTGAGGTCATTGGAAATGGGATATCTACACTGATGGAGGGATGAGTGTTGGGTCACTGCATGACTGAAGCCTGAGCATGAACAGCTTTGTAACTGAGTATCTCATGATGACTCAATTTAAAAAAAAAAAGGGTAAATAAAAAGAATCCTTGCTTTCTAAATTAGTGACAATTTCATTTATTTTTTATTGTTTTAATTTTATTTTTTAAACTTTGGGCCATACCCAGTGGTGTCATCCCTAACTCCTTGCTCTGCACTCAGGGGTCACTCCTGGTAGGCTCGGGGGACCCTATGGGGTGCCAAAGACCAAACCTGGTTGGCTGAGGGTGACACAAGTGCCTTCCCTACTGAACTGCTTTGCCGGCCCCCTAAAGTAGTGATGATCTTAGCAGGCTGCAGTGAAGCTGATCAACAATTTGCAGAGCTCTTACTCTGTGAATGTTGGACTCATCTATCGAAGTTTGCTACAACTTTTACTCCCTTCAGACAGTGAGAGTCCAGGTGAAGTGGCAGAAAGGAATCGCGCTTACGCAGAATGGTTGAAGACTCGGGATACATGTCAGAAACAGCTTTTGCAAATGGAACGACGAGACTGTCCCAGTTACTTGGTTCATGCATCACAGGACATTCTGGGAGCAGAAGGAAAAGCAACAACGCTTCCTGGTGTTGTGAACGATAAGGAAGATCTTGAACCAGTTTCTTGAGACTGCTAGTCATCTGTGTTTGAAATAAGATGAGGAAAAGGCCCAGGTTATGTTACTTAGGTCCATCAGAGTATTATGAGAAGTAAGTTATGGGACCAGAGCTTTCATTGTACCATTTCCTATTGGAAATAATCTTTTTTTTCTTTTTTTTCTTTTTCCTGGAAGTGACTGCTAAAACCACATGATTAGGGGCTGGAGCGATAATACAGCAGGAAGGGCATTTGCCTTGCACACGGCCGACCTGGGTTCGATTCCCAGCATCCCACATGTATTTCATTTATTTATAGCACCACCAGCAGTAATTCCTGAGCGCATGAGCCAGCTGAGTGGGGCTGAGCACTTCAGGTCCATGGAGTCCAGAGCTTGTATAGACCCTGGTGAATCCAGATTTCCCGGGGGCTTCCGTGGAGCCCAAAGTGCTCTTGTTTTGTGCATTGTCCCTCCCCACAACCAGACCACCAACATTTCAACTGAGCCTTAACAATTCAGTGAGGAAGTGAACGCCAGCACCTAGCGCAGTGCCGGCGATGTAGAAACCTCCCTATGGAGGCGACCTCCTCCCTTGTCACAGTTCCTTCTCATGCCCACCAACAAGACAACACCACACACTCCATGTCTCAGGTCTGTATCGGCCATTACCATGGCAGAGATCTTCTTGTTTCCTGCCAACCTCGTGAAGGTGTCTCTTGCCCTCTGTAGGTCTACATCGATGGAAACGGATTCTTCTGGTTTCCTGTAGGTCCAAGAAGTGGGAGACACCCATAAACCTCTGGAAAGAAATGCTGCTAAATTTCAAGCATCGTGACTTACTCATGGAGTTCTTCCCTACATTGAACTTTTTTTTCTCATCGTTAATAAAATTTGCGAACCAACACGGCTGACTCAAAAAAAAAAACTCCACCGTTTTAAAGGAAAGGAAACCTCGTGTAATATATTACCTTTTCTTTAAAAAACTTGCAGTCAGACAAGCAGGAGATGAAAAGATTGCTTCAATTTCACTGAAAAACAACAACAACAACACTGTGAGTTAAATCACAACATCCACTAAAGAATGTTCCTTTTATCTCACATCTAAATACATAACTGATGTCATGCAATCATCTTTCATCTTCTTGTGGTAGCAAGGATTGGCACCGGAGCCTCACTGAGGCGAGATGTGTGCGATACCACACAGCCACATCCCAATTCTAGCCTTTTTAGAGACTCCCCCAGGAATCTTCCAAGGTCTGACTGTAGTTTCTGCGTGTCACTGCTAAATCTCTTCAAAATCCTTCATAGTCCACTTGATTTGGTCGTCAAGATAGAAATAAAATCCCATTTTCTGAAAACAGGCATACAGAGTCCAAAACAACAAGCTGAAAATACAGAAACGATTTTCCCTAGAGAGGGCTCTGTGGGAGCAAGGTTTGTTGTTCTTCGGTTTGGCGGGGGGGGGGTCACACCTGTTGGTGCTCAGAGGCTACTCTTGGCTCTGTGCTCTGGGTCTCTGGGGCTGTTCTCAGCGGTGCCTGGGGAATCGTGCCGTGCCGGGGATCAGCCCAGCCTCTAACCTGCAAAGCATGAGCTCAACCCCATAAGCCCTGAGCTGGAAGCTGTCTCCTCTGCTCTTGAAAGGGTTGGAAACTCACACTTGCGTCCCCCTGCCCCTGATGCACTTTGTTATAAAACTATGAGTAGATCAATATATCAGTGTCATCTTCAGAAAAAATCAGAAGAGAATCACAGTTAAAATACAGACGAGGGGCTGGAGCCATAGCACAGCGGGTAGGGCGTTTGCCTTGCACGCAGCCAACCAGGATTCGATTCCCAGCATCCCATATGGTCCCCTGAGCACCGCCAGGGGTAATTCCTGATCGCAGAGCCAGGGGGAACCTCTGTGCATTTCTGGGTGTGACCCAAAAAGAAAAAAAAAAAATAATAATAAAATGAAATAAAATACATTACAACTTGGGCCAGAGGAACACTAGGGTGTTTGCCTTGTATGCAGCTGACCCCAGCTCCATCCCAAGCCCCGTATAGGGTCCCCCTGAGCACTCTCTGGAATAATCCTTCTGTACCTTCCAAAACAATAGTAAAAACTATGAATGCCTTTACAACAAAGCCAAACTGCCTTTCTTCTGTCTAGGATGAAATGACCAGGTTTCAGGGGCAAACGGTAGTGGTTTATAATAGAGCAGAGGGAGTCACCTCTCAACTCCCTTCTTCTTTGAATTTATCGCTGAAATCCATTTATTTGTCAGGGAGTTGTTAATTCTGCTTATTTCTGGTAGGGTCTTCTTAGAAATACTTGTACTTTCATCCTTCAAGGAAAAGAAATAATGATCAGAAATACACACACACACACACACACACACACACACACACACACACACACACACTGAACCCAGGAAACCGAATGGCAAAGGCGGTCTATACACCTCTTCCTCTCGCTGTGGCCCATGGTGCAAGGAGTTCGGGCATCAGGTTGAAGCAGAAACAAATCAGATTTGTTCCAAATCCTAGACCTGTGCTAGTCCAGGGCTTCATTTCGCCTTTCAAAGAGTGGGATGTCTTATGGGTCAGAGAATAGTCCTGCAGGCTAAGGTCCTTGCCTGATATGCAGCTGACTGGGGATTGATTTCCAACACCCATACGAGTTTCTGAGTCCTTCCAGGAGTCATACTTAAGCGTAGAGCATGACTAAACCCTGAACACAGAGGGTATGGCCCAAATAGAGAAGGATTAAAAAATAGATATTTAAAACAAGCTTCAAGTACATATTCATCGTGCCATTATTCATAATAGACTGAAACAACTATAGTGTCCACTGATAGTATACATAGATGAACATGAAATATCCTACAATGTGGAATGCAGTGGAATATTATGCAGGCATGAAAGGAACCGAAATCAGCTAGACCCTGCAGGGGACATAAGTCTGTGTCCTTCACATACACGAAACTCGCTCTTGTCCAGAGCCTTTCCCAACACTGTTTTCCTTGAACCAGAAGAATCTTTTCTTGCATCTAGAAAAGGCCAATATCTAGCCCATAGATCATCGTTGTGGGATGCTGCCCCCACAGCCAGCTCTCAAGAGGGCCACTCCATCAGTCTCGAAGGCCCTACTCTGTCTCCTTCAGAGTCTGTGTCGCAGTGCTGGAGACCAAAACAGGGCCTGACACGTGTGAGGCAAGGGCTGGTTCCACTTGTCTTCTTCACTTACTCATGTTTGGGTTATTCTCCCTTTTCAATTGAGGAATCTTCACCCCAGGTTCCTATCCTATTCTTAAATTCAGGATATTTACCCTCTGGCCATAGAGACAGTAGAATGAATGAGGCAATTGCCTCGCCCACAGCAGACCCAGTTCAATCCCTAGCACCAAATATGGTGCCCTGAAAGCCTCCAGGAACGATTCCTGAGCACCACCAAGCGTGACATCACTCTCACCCGCCCCCCCTCCCCATAATAGAGAAAAAAAGGTATTTATCCCATTGACTTTGGAATCTACATCTACATTCATGTAGATTCTTCTTACAGTGCAGTTAAATATGTTCCCTTCTGCTATTACTTGACATTAAATGAGTTACTTCAAATGATTAGATGATGAAATGATTTTCGTTGTATGATGTCAACTTCGTTGCTCAACCAGCCTAGTAAGGGGCTAAGTTGTCTCTACCCCTAGTGCCATTTGTCCTTTCCTGAAGCACCCAAACACCGTGCATGAGACAACCTTGTCTGTTTTACGCACACTCATCCTGAGTACTATGAGAGAGCCTGAAACATCAGAGGCTTTACTGCGTGGCTGTTTGTGACAGAGCTGCCAGGTACAAACTTCTAACCATCCTCGGTAGCCCAGGAACCTTTATTCTGACCATCTGCCATCTCAGGAAATTGAAAGTCTCTGTGGAAGTCAAATTTAAAGCACTCCTAATAATGGGAAGGTACAATTTAGAAAAATGACCATATGCAAGTTCATCTCCATGCAACTGTTTCAGAAAAATGATGATAAGATTCTCTCGACTAACAACTAGGAAGACGCTACAGAGCAACTGATAACAGCATGGAGTAACCTGTGGTCTAGGCTGTATTTTCTTGAGTTCACCTTTGGTACTTGTCAACAGTGCAACTTGACACCTAACTGTAACTCCGTTATTTTATCTGTGAAATAGAGTTGTCTACCTACCAACTGGAGTTGAGAGCATGGCTATTTCTTTGGTGACAATTTTGAATCTGTATAGTGCTTTGGGCAGTATTGTCATTTTAACTGTGTTAAATGAAGACCTCCAGAACCAGCCACCACCATGCTGAGACCACTCTCAGCACACATGAAGGTACCCGCAGAGGAACAAAGGCACGCAGGTCCCGGGGCTGAGATCTCCAAGCCTACTTGGATCTGGGCTGAGCATCCTCCACCCAGATCGTCCAAATTCCAGTAGGCAGGGGTCACACCCACCAACTGGCCCCCTAGCGCCGTGTAATCCCATCAACGGCCAAGGCTCAGAGACTATAAAACCCAGCTCCCGGAAGCTCCACCAACTGGCCCCCTGGCACCGTGTAATCCCATCAATGCCCAAGACTCAGAGACTATAAAACCCAGCTCCTTATCATCTCATTCCTACTTTGGACAAACTGGCAGTCTACTGAATGTAACCTGCCCACATGGCAGAGTCTGGCAAACTCCCCGTGGCGTACCCAATATGCCAAATACCAGTATCAATGATGGGTCTCATTCTCCTAATTCTGAAAGAGCCTTGAATATGACACTTTTTAAAAAAATCTCAGGGATAGGATGAAGGAGACGTTACTGGGGCCTGCTCGAGGCAATCGACGAATAACAGGATGGTTGTGATCTTGTGATCTCTTGTGACTGTGTTAACCATTTCAATCCATGAACAGGGTATGTATTTCCATTTCCTTTGGGCCTTCTATTTCTTTTGATAGTAATTTACAGTTGTCTTTGTATAACGCTTACCTTCTCTGTTGACTCTCAGGTACTTAATTTGGGGGGAGTGTGCAGAATATGAATAGGATTTCTTAAATTTTTTCACTCTTCTGCTTTGTTGTTTCCATATGCAAGTGCTACAGACCTCAACATATTTATTTGGTGGCCTGCTACCTTTCTATCTGGGTCAATTGTGTCTACAAGTTTTTAAGTAAACGCTAGAGCCTTCCAAGTATACTATAATACCTAAGATAAATAAAGTACTGGCAAAACTCAGCACCAAAATGAGCAAACGACGCTGTCAAAAATGGGGGGAAGAAGGAGTACAGACTCTGTTGTACCAAGCCTGCTAGGCCCAGGCCCCAGGATGGGGCAGTTTAGAGGGCCCAGTACTCCACCCACTTTTAAATGGCCCAGCCCCAAGACTGATCTTAGAAAGAAGCTGCCATTGCACCAAACCTGGTAGGCCCAAGACACCATGATGCCGGGTCATCCCAGTGATCCCATTGCTGGAGCATGCAGCCACATACGAGGCCACAGGGCATCTGCAAAGTTCATTGGACCAACAGCCCAGAACATAGAAACTTGGATGAGAAGTTGTGTAGAAACTCAATGAGAAAAATATGCGGTATTTTATTTAAGCTCCATGAGAAAAATATGCAGTAAATTATACAGTAAATATATATTGCTTTCTAGACAGCAACATACAGTAAATTATTGTGTGTCTACTGAGGGGGCTAGGTAAAGGTAAAGGCCCTCCCGTTGATCGTCGATTTGCTCGAGCGGGCCCAGTAACGTCTCCATTGGAGACTTTGTTGTTACTGTGTCTGGCATATCGAATACTCTCGGTAGCTTGTCGGGCTCTCCGAGAGGGGCGGAGGAATTGAACTCAGGTCGGCCATGTTGGCTGCTTGTAAGGCGAACGCCCTACCCGCTGTGCTATCGCTCCAACTGAGGGGGCTAAAAGGACATTTCTTTTCTTTCTTTACTTTTTTCTTTTTTAAATTGAATCACTGTGAGGGTTGAATACACTGACATCTCCCCTCAATCATATGATCATCTAATCTTTGATAAAGGTGCAAGTAATGTGAAGTGGAGTAAGGAAAGCCTCTTTAATAAATTGTGTTGGCATCACTGGACGGCTACATGCAAAAAAATGGGCTCAGAACTCTGCCTAACACCATGTACAAAAGTAAGATCAAAATGGATTAAAGACCTCAACATCAGACCAGAAACCATAAGGTACATTGAAGATAAAGTTGGCAAAACCCTCCATGACATTGAAGCTAATGGTATCTTCAAAGATGCCACGCCACTGGCCGAGCAAGTGAAAACAGAGATAGATAAATGGGACTATCTTAAACTAAGAAGTTTCTGCAAAGAAACAGTGACCAAAATACAAAGACAGTCTACAGAATGGGAAAGGATATTCGCCGAATACACATCTGACAAGGGGTTGATATCAAGGATATACAAAGTACTGGTTGAACTCCACGTGAAGAAAACATCCAACCCCATCAAAAAATGGGGCAATGAAATGAACAGAAACTTTCTCAAAGAAGAAATCCGAATGGCAAAAAAGCACATGAGAAAATGCTCTACATCATTAATCATCAGGGAGATGCAGATCAAAACCACAATGAGATACCATCTCACACCTCAGAGACTGGCCCACATTCAAAAGAACAAAAGCAACCGATGCTGGCGTGGATGTGGCGAGAAAGGGACACTCCTTCACTGTTGGTGGGAATGTCCATTGGTTCAGCCCTTCTGGAAAACAGTATGGACGATTCTCAAAAAATTAGAAATTGAGCTCCCATTTGAGCCAGCAATACCACTCCTAGGAATATATCCCAGAGAGGCAAAAATGTATAGTCGAAGTGACATCTGCACTTGTTTGTTCATTGCAGCACTCTTTACAATAGCCAGAAACTGGAAGAAACCTGAATGCCCAAGAACAGATGACTGGTTAAAGAAACTTTGGTACATCTACACAATGGAGTACTATGTAGCTCTTAGAAAAGATGAAGTCATAAAATTTACCTACAAGTGGTACAATATGGAAAGTATCATGCTAAGCGAAATGAGTCAGAAAGAGAGGGATAGACATAGAAAGATTGCATTCATCTGGGGGATATAAAGTAACAAAGTATGAGATTAATACCCAAGAATAGCTGAGATCAGCACCAGGAGGATTACTCCATAACTTAGAGGCCAGCCGGGTATCCTAGAGGAAAGGGCAGTTCAGATAGAGAAGGGAGCACCAAATAAAGGATGTTTGGAGGATCCTCCCAGGAGGGGAGATGCATGTCGAAAGTAGACTATGGACTGAACATGTTTGCCACTCAATGCCTCTTTTGCAGACCACAACACCCAAAAGGAGAGAGAGAACACAGGGGATTGCCCTGCCACAGAGGCAGGGGGGGATAGGGGGATGGGGGTGGGGGGATATTATCCATGGTGGTGGAAAATGGGCACTGGTGGAGGGATGGGTATTTGATCATTGTATAATCAAAACCCAACCACAAAAAGTTGCAAATCTACAACTGTACCTCATGGTGTTTCACTAATAAAAAAAAAATAAAAAAAATTGAATCACTGTGAGATAGATCATTGCAAAACTATTTATAATTGGGTTTCAGTCATATAATGTTTCAATAATCATCTTTACAATAGTGTACATTTCCCACCATCCTCCTGCCAGCCCCACCCACTCCCTGTCTCTATGACAATCACCTTCTCTCTCTCTCTCTCTCTCTCTCTCTCTGTCTCTCTCTCTCCTTTTGTTCATTATGATTTGCAATACAGGTACTAAGAGATCATTGTGTTTGTTCAGGGGCATTCAGTGTTTTTATCAGCAAGGCACAGCTGTAGTAGCTTGTTTTTAACTGACATAAAAACAAAAAAAAACTAGTTGTGTCCGTGTTTGAAAATAATAAATTTTATCCTTCATATTGGGCTCAAGTGATAGCACAGTGGGTAGGGTGTTGACCTTGTATGCAGCCAACATGGCCGACCCGAGTTCGATTCCTCTGCCCCTCTCGGAGAATCCGGCAAGCTATCGAGAGTATCTCGCCCGCACTGCAAAGCCTGGCAAGCTACCCTTGATGTATTCTATATGCCAAACACAGTAACAGCAAAGTCTCACAATGGAGACATTACTGGGCCCGCTCGAGAAAATTGATGAACAACGGGGGGACAGTGACAGTGACTACTAAGGGGGCAGGCTAGGGGCCTAGTGTAACATTGGTGGAGGGAAGGTCCCAACGGTAGCGGGACTGATGTTTGAATATTCTGCACTGCACTGTCCTCCAGTTGTTCATCAATTTGCTCGAGCGGGCCCAGTAATGTCTCCCTTATGAGATTTGTTGTTACTGTGTTTGGCATATCGAATACGTCATGGGGAGCTTGCCAGGCTTTGCCGTGCGGGCAAGATACTCTCAGTAGCTTGCTGGGCTCTTTGAGACGGATGGAGGAATCAAACCCGGTTCGGCAGAGCTGGCCGCACGCAAGGCTAACGCCTTACCGCTGTGCTATATTAGAAATGACTGTCATATGAACAACTTTGTGAATCATGGTGTTTAAATAAAGTTTCTATTTGATTTGACTTTAAGCTTTTTTGAACCAAGTAATGTGAAATGAATTTGTTATATGCTTGCCAAGGGGGTAGAAGGGGTCAGCAAGGGAACCTGGGGACATTGGTGAATTCAGGGAATGGGACACTGGTCAAGAAACATAGTAAGGTAATAGTGATAAGCCCTGAAAACCGACCCACAGAATTGAATTTACCAGGGCAGGGGTACCGGAAGGAGGATGGGGAGGGGATTCTGAGACAGTTGTGGGGTTCACAGATGCTGTTGGGGGGCATAGTATTGGGACACTCTATGCCTGAACCACTAAGACTAACAGCTGTGTAGCACAGTGGTAGAGCGTTTGCCTTGCATGCAGCCAACATGGCCGACCCGAGTTCGATTCCTCCGCCCCTCTCGGAGAGCCCGGCAAGCTACCGAGAGTATCTTGCCCGCACGGCAGAGCCTGGCAAGCCACCCGTGATGTATTCGATATGCCAAACACAGTAACAACAGTGTAAATCACTGGACCTAAATAAAAACTGAAAGAAAAAGAAAAGTTTTCCAATAGAGAATCAATGTTTTTGTAAGAAACTTGAATGACATCCTGTTGCAAATACTGCTCTGAATCTAAAGGAAAAAATAATCTTTAAAAGAAACCAAAAGAATGAGATACCTGGTAAGTCGTCACAAAGTCGGCATATGTTCCAGCAAAAATGTGCTTGACATTCACGGATTCTAAAAGAAAGTCAGAAATCCATACTTACAGTTTTATAGAAGCAAAAACAAGTAACTCTTTTGATAAGCCTAAAGAATTCATCTTAAAAAGCTGGTGTATTACCAAGCTAAATTGACTTCTTAGCCATTTGTACTCTTCTATATAGATTTTGATCATTAAAAGAAGTGTAAGGAATTGTTTTGTCAGATTTGATGTCATAGAGTCTCTCAGCTTACAATGAATTTTTCTTGCCCTTGCATAATGAAAGGAAGCCGGCATGCTTCATGAGGGTTGATCAAGTTGATTAAAAGCACACCATTCTAGGCCGAACAGACAGATTGGGGCTTCTCTTTTGTATAGCCTTAATTTTTAGCAAGGACTCCAGGAGTTAACGCATAAGAAAAACATGCATACTGTACAAATTTGCAATGAAATTACTCTAAGAATCATCGTCCCACAGACTCCTTTGGAAGGGAGATGGAATGACAATGATCCTGGCGTGGCATCAATCAACCCAAACCAGGAGTTAGCGAGACCGCCCATACCAGCAGCAGAGATCAGGCAGTTAGTGTTCGCGTTCTCGGCCAGCGCTTCTGGAGGAGATGGGTTGCTTGTGTGACTTGGTCCACAACCAAAAGACACCACCTCACCGGTGGTGTAGACATAGACAAGGGTGTGCTTACTTCGGGAGAGAAAAATACATCATCATGAAGACCAGAGATCAGGCTTTGGGGAAAGAAGATACCGCAACACCAAGTTACAAATCTGCCTTCTGCCAAGAGCACCCACCAGGGCGTCAGGACGAGAGCACGTCACAGATGGACTTATGGCCGCTCTGAAAGGGGACAAGTCATGGTCTGGCCCCAGTGTGGGGCTTCCCTTGTGCCACTAGTATAGCAGCTATTGGCTTGGGGAATTGTTTCTGCAGCTGACAACGGAGCTCCACGTCCCTGCTGACTGACCCCTTTTCCAGAAGCTTAGAAACCATCTTGTTTTCTTGTTTTCAACTGCTGTGGCTTTCTGGAGCAAATTTCTGGCTGAATTTCATGCAAACTCAATGTCACTTCCTCACAGAATTAAGTTATCTGCCTAGGAGTGGCCTCACCCAGTGATTATGGATGTAGCAGACGTGTTTTTTTCCTCCCAAGAAACTCAGGGTTGTAACTATAATGAATAACCACTAAGCACACTGACAGGAGAGCAAGTGAGCCCCCGTTGGGTCGAGCCCTGTGGGCCTCTGAGGCCGATACTGCACGTGCTGGTTGCACCTCTCTGAATTTGTCAGTGTGAAGACGCCCAGATTTACCCAAGGAGACGGAGCTCACCTTGTTTGACGGGACTTGAAGTGATGGAGCCCCTCTGCTGGGAGCATCAAGGGCGTTAAAGTGCTCACCTGGCATGTGGCTGGCTCAGGTTCCCTCCCCTGCAACCCCAGGAGTGAGCCCGGAGCACGGACCAGGGTGGTCCAAACCCCACACCCCTCCCAAAGGACAGGACAGCATTCATGGGTCTTTCCTGTTGGTTTTTCTCGCTTCTGCTTTACATATAAATATGTTTTTCTAATGAGCTGGATAGATAAGTGTCCTCACAACAGGGCAACACGTAACTCTCAGGGGTAGGAAGAGAGATACCAGCTTGGATGGGATCCCTTTCAGTTGGTCTCCTCACCTCTGGAGCCAAGCACCATTCTTTTATTTATTTTTTTAATGTCTTTATTTATTTTTCAGTTTTGGGGTTCCCACCTGGCTCAGCACTCAGGGATGACTCCCAGCAGTGTCTGGGGGACATTGTAGGATGGTGGGGATTGAACCCCAGTCGGCTCTGTGCAGGGCAAGCGCCCTCTCTACTGTACCATGTCTCCGGACCCCACCATTTCCTTTTGTAATAAACCCAGACCCCTCTCCGGCAGCGAGCACGGCGGGCAAGGCGGGCTCAGACGGAACAGACGGCCAATGAACATGCATTAAATACGTGCGATGTCTGAGATACAAATTTGGAGGGATCGTATATTCAGAATTTTCAGAACAGTTCTAGGAAACGGGGAGTGGCAGACTTTAGAGTGGGATGGTTTAAGAACAGCCAAGCCAGAAACAAATGAATAAGCCCTGTTGATAAATAAATGGATCAATACCTTCCACAATCGATCTGCGAGACGGAGCCACTGAGGCCCTCCACAGGCTGCGGGCCTCTTTCGGCTGAGCTGTGTCCCAGCTGGCCGTAGGTGTTGTCGCCAAATGTAAACACCTTCCCATCCTGTTTGCAAAAGGAAAAAGAGACAGTCTGGGCTGGAGCACAGGTGTGAGAGCAGAAAAGCCAGGTTTGATCCCCTCACCCCACAGGGTCCCTGCGGCCCTGCCAGGAGTGAGGCCCGAGCACCGCTGGATGAGCACCCCGAACCAAAACCCTCGAAATAAATGAACGGATAAGAAAGGAAGAAGGGAGCTGAAGAGGGAGAACCGCAGGTAGAGTGGTCGCTTGCAGAAGACCTGGGTTTGGTCCCTGGCACCCCATAAGGCCCCTGAGCACCCCCAGAGTGACACCTGAGTTGGGAGTTAGCCTGAGATGTGACAAACAGATAAAACAAACTAGGTGTGGGGGTGGGGTGGGATCAGATTAGTATCAGGTGACAAAAAAATAAGCAAAGTTGAAAGATTGGGTATCAAGTATTCTCTGGGGGCACTGAGGGACTGGACACAATGACAAAGGCCCTGCGTTTGTCTTTTTTTTTTTTTGGCTTTTTGGGTTACACCCAGCGATGCTCAGGGGTTACTCCTGGCTCCGCACTCAGGAATCACTCCTGGCAGTGCCCAGGGGGTCCATATGGGATGCTGGGAATCGAACCCAGGCAAATGCCCTCCCCGCTGTGCTCCAGCCCAGCATTGGCCATTTCGAACAGTGAATGGAGCGTGGACACACGGAATGTGAATACTCAGCACTTTAGTAAGAAGTGCTTCGTCAGGGTTCGCAGAATGAATGCATGGTAGAATCAATTGGCTGAAGAGTGGCACCAGCATATAAGAGAGACTGCAAAATGCTAGCGCAGGAGTGAAATACAGGGTCGTTTATTTAAGCATTTCTCTGGAAACAGCCTCGCTTCAAAAGATGATTCCCGATTTTAAAAAAAAAAATTCGGCATAACTCAATGCCTCTTTTGCAGACCACAACACCCAAAAGGAGAGAGAGAACACAGGGGATTGCCCTGCCACAGAGACAGGGGGGATGGGGGGATGGGGGTGGGAGGGATATTATCCATGGTGGTGGAAAATGGGCACTGGTGGAGGGATGGGTATCTGATCATTGTATAATTGAAACCAAAGCACAAAAAATTGTAAATCTACAACTTTAAAAAAAATAAAATAAAATAAAGGGAAAAAAAAATTCGGCATATTCTGATGGAGGGAACCCATTTGATGGAATCTTTTGAATAATCAGGGCAGGAAGCGGAAACGCAAAGACAACCCCTAATTGAACCAAGCAAGAAAAGGCACCAGGGGCCCAAGAGATAGCAAAGCAGGCTGCCGGGGGCTTGCCTTGCACACGAGTGACCTGGGTTTTATCCCCAGCATCCCATGTGGTCCCTCCCAGAAGCATCAGGAATGATCCCTGAGCTGAGAGCACTAAACACTGCTGGGTGTGGCCCAAAAACAAGAAAAAAGAGAAAAGAAGGAAGGAAGGAGGGGAGGGAGGGAGGAAGGAAAGAAGGAAGGAAGAAAGAAAAAAGAAAGAGAGGGAGGGAGGGAGGGAGGGAGGGAGGGAGGAAGGGAGCCTCGAGACTAGCTTTGTCACGCTGCTTAATAATTAAAAAAAATTTTTTTTTAAATAAAAGTAAGGAAAAATTATCCTGACCCACATCTGGCTTCAGGAATCACAGTGCGGGTGCCTGGGAGACAGTTCTCAGAGAGGCAGGCGGAGGCGTCCCGGGCTTACCTGTGTGAGCACTGCCGTGTGCTGGCCCCCACAGCTGATGAACTCCACGCCCAAATTCCTCAGGGCCCCCACGGCCCATGGGCTGTATCTCGGCCCTGCTGAGAGAAAGCAGAGTCAGAAGCATGCTTGCAAAAGCCTCTGCACTCGCAAACTGTCGCATGTTCATACCATCTTATGCACGTTCTGAACCTCTGATTTCCCTCTCTTTTGTCATCAATACAACCCTGCCAAAATTTAAAAGCACCTTTTGGGTTTTTTTTTTTTTTTGGTTTTGGGGGGGGGTTTGTTTTGTTTTGTGTTAAGGTCACACCAGCCGGGCTCAGGGCTTATTCCTGGCTCTGTGCTCGGGGATCATTCACAGTCAGGTTCGGGAGGACCATCTGGGATGCTGGGGACCCAATCCAGGCTGGGAACATTTCTGGCAGGCAGTGGGCATAGGTGGTTTAAGTAAAGTGGAGAAAACATGATTCCATCAGACGTTTGATTTTACCCCCTGGAAATTGTATCAGACTTGGACCACCAGAACTAAAACCTAAGAAATTTGTGTTCGTTTAAGTCTCTAAGTTTATGGGGCTGGAACACAGTGGGTAGGGTGTTTGCCTTGCATGCGGCTGACCTGGGTTCGACCCCCAGTATCCCATGTGGTCCCCCTGAGCACTGCCAGGAGTGATTCCTGAGTGCATGAACCAGGAGTAACCCCTGTGCATCGCCAGGTGTGACCCAAAAAGAAAAAAAAGTCTCTAAATTTATGATAATTTTTCATAAGAGTCTTTGAAAATGACCAAGTCCCATCACTGACCTGGGCACCTCTCAAGAGTGCTGAAGTTTGAGTCTCCCTCTTCGGCTCTGTGAGCCGTCCTTGACAAAACAGGGCAAAAACCAAACCAACAAACAAACTCACTGAGTGGAACAAGAATTCTACTTACCTGCATTTTGATCGCTGAGGGCCAGCTGCCCGGCACAGTTGCTTCCCCAGCCGAAGGCCGTCCCGGAGAGGGACAGTGCAAAGCTGTGGGCCCCGCCCGCAGCCACCTGTGCCAGGGGGACTCCCTGCAGAGACAGGACCGGACTGGGTTCAGCCTGGAAGAGGTCCTTCTTCTCCAAGCCCAGCTGCCCATGGCTATTGCTGCCCCAGGAAAACAGCTGCCCACCTGCCAAAGAAAGAGAAAGGAGAAAAAAATGAGCCCAGCACTGGACTTCCAAATTCAAGAAAAAAGTCCCGTGAGAATTGCTAAACACCCTCCCAGTAGGGATCGAGATGAAGGAGGTGGAGACGCTTGGATCTGAAGGTCAAGGTCACCTTCAAACAACACCTGTCCTCAGAATCTCCTGCCCTGTGCCAGGCTGTCTTCATGTGGGCCCCCTTCGAGGGGGATGGGTTGAGTTCCCCTCCCCGACCCAAGCAGAAATCCGGCAGACGAAAACCTCCAGAACCCAACCCCTGCCATACTCAAGGCCACTCTTCTCCACACACTAGGACGAGCCCCACCCATGAAGGAACCAGTAGAGGAACCCAGGTATGCGGAACCCGGGGCTGAGATCTCCAAGCCTGCTCCGATCGGGACTGGACCTCTTCCACCCAGAGGCCCCATTTTCCAGTAGCTTGGCAGCCACACCCACAAACTGCCCCTGGCGCCATGAAATCCCATCAACAGCCAAGATCCAGAGACTATAAAACAAAGCTCCCGGAAGAGAGCGACGCAGTTTTTCCTGGAGCCCACAGCCGCTCAACCTCCTATATATTGTCTAGCCCACTGATGTACCTAAAGCAGCACACGTGTGTTTGGTTTTAACATACTTGCTTATATTCTCTTATCTACGGGCTTAAAGGGCCCCAGAATAAAATACAATAACCTTCACACACTTCCCTCTTATTATGGTCGGAAGATGCTTGCTGGTTGGGTGGGTGTTTGAATATTATCTGTAATGAACGCTTGTGAACTACTTCATGAAAATAAACTGTATAAAAATTGCAAAAAAAAGAGAAAACTGTCTAGTGAAGGCTCTGCAAAGCTGTGCTTGTTCCGCAGCTGCGCAGTCAAAAACAAATTTGTCTGTTTGTTTGTTTGGGCAGTGCTCAGGCCGCTCCTGGCTCTGTGCTCAGGGATCACTCCAGGGGAGCCTATGTGGTGCGGGGGATTGAACCCAGGTAGGCTGTGTGCAAGGCAAGAGACTTCACCCTTGCACACTGTTCTTGGTGCAACAGCCAAGATAAAGGAAACAACCGAATGCCCAACTGTGGGTCAATGGGTGGAGCAGCTGTAGTCTATGATGGAAAACCATGCAGCTTTACAAAAGAACAGAATCATGCAATTTGCTGCCCCGTGGCTGGAACTAGAGCATAGTATGTGGAGTGAAGCCAGTCGGGAGGAAAGGAACAGATTCAGAATGATCCCTCTCATAGGTGAGACTTAAAGTTGCACAGCAAGGAGCAACAAAGGGCCAAACTGGAGAACTGAAATACAGAACAGAGTTGCGGGGGAAGTGTGTGCGCGCGCGTGTGTGTGTGTGTGTGTGTGTGTGTGTGTTGCACACGCCCACCCGGGTTTGATCCTGAGCATCTATATGGTCTTCCAAGTTCCAACAAGAACAATTTCTGAGCTCAGAGCCAGGAGTAACCTCTGAGCATCTCCAGGTGTTACTTAAAAACAAACAAACAAAAAAATAACTGGGTCTGGAGTGATAGCACAGCAGGGAGGGCGTTTGCCTTGCACGCAGTCAACCCGGGTTCGATTCCCAGCATCCCATATGGTCCCCTGAGCACCACCAGGAGTAATTCCTGAGTGCAGAGCCAGGAGTAACCTCTGTGCATCTCCGGTGTGACCCCCCAAAAACAAAAAACAAAACAACAACAACAAAAAAACCCTATAAACTAAAAAAAAAAAACCCTAAGAAACAAACAATAACAAATAAAAGAATGAGTTTGGGGGATGTGAGGGGTTTGAAAGGGAGGAGTATCAGGGCCATTAGTATTGTAAATCATAGGCCTTCAATCAATTAAGAAATGAATAATTATTATTCAATCAAGTAATGAATGAATAGTCTATAGACTATAAAACCAGAGACTATAAAACCCAGCTCCTGGAAGAGAACAGCACAGAGTCTCCTGCCCCTGCGCCTGGCCTTCCTCACCAGGACCCCTTGCGGGGGGCAGGTTGAGTTTCCCTTCCCACCCCAACCAGGGCTCCGACAGCCGAAGACCTCCAGAACCAGCCACCACCATGCTGAGACCACTCTCCGCACACATGAAGGCACCGGCAGAGGAACAAAAGCATGCAGGTCCCGGGGCTGAGATCTCCAAGCCTGCTCGGATCGGGGTTGAGCATTCTCCACCCAGATCCTCCAAATTCCAGTAGGCGGGGGTCACACCCACCACCTGGCCCCCTGGCGCCGTGTAATCCCATCAATGGCCAAGACCCAGAGACTACAAAACTCAGCTCCCAGAAGACATCTTATTATCCCATTCTTACTTTGGACAAACTGGCAGGCTACCGAATGTAACCTGCCCACACGGCAGAGTCTGGCAAACTCCCTGTGGCATACCCAATGTGCCAAATACCAGTAACAATGATGGGTCTCATTCTCCTAACCCTGAAAGAGCCTTCAATATGGCACTTTTTTAAAAATCTCAGGGCTAGGATGAAGGAGACGTTAATGGGGCCTGCTCGAGGCAATTGACAAACAACAGGATGATCGTGATCGCAATTAATGAATAATTTAATTAAAAACAAAAGTTTAAAAGCCCTGCACTGCCTCACTTCATTTGGGACGGGGGTGTGCCCAGGGGTGGAAGGAAGGAAAGGGAGTGAAGAACAACAGCATCGAATCTGAGCACAGATGGATAATTTATCCTGATTTGAAAAACAAGCTCTGGGCCCAAGAGAGCACAAAGGGCTGAGCACCTGCCATGCACGAAGCTGGAGCCTCCCAGGCTAATCTGAAAGTAGCCCCAGCACCAGCGGGGGAGGCGGCCCAAATGAACCAACGAAACCAGGCTCTTTTCTTTTTTCTTTCTTGGTCACACCGGCGATGCACAGGGATTCCTCCTGGCTCTGCACTCAGGAATTACTCCTGGAGGTGCTCAGGGGACTCTATGGGATGCCGAGGATCGAACCCAGTTCAGCTGCGTGCAAGGCAAACACCCTCCCCGCTGTGCTGAGCTCCAGCTCCTGAAACCAAGCTCTCCTGATGCAGGGTTACTTACTGAGAGATCTCCCGCTAACGCTCTGAGTTGGGTGGTGTCTCACTTTTCTTTTTCACTTCTCTGAAGTGAATTCTACCACTGAAAAGTTTTTTGTTGTTGTCGTTGTTGGGGACCACACCCAGCGGTGCTCAGAGATCGCTCTGGATTTGGTGCTAGAGTTTGCTCCAGCCAGCGGAGCTGAGGGTTGAGGCCACGTCAGCGACCCAGCCCAGCCTCCCTCAAGCAGAGCACACACAGCATCCCCTTGAATTCTCTCTCTGACCCCCCCCCCCCCACCAAATTCTTCCTAATGACACTTCGGAGGTTCCAGAGACCTTTCTTACCTTCTGTCAATGCCAGAGAGTGATGGTCTCCACAGGAAACTTGTATTATTTTTCTACCTCTCAGACTTTGTATTAACCTAGAGTAAAAAAATAATGCAAAATCAATAATCCTCCATAAGTCAATGACGATATTTAAAACTATCCCGGGTTTGGTTGAACAAAACCATTTCGTTGTCTTGCATTGCTGGATCATTTGCGAGCTTTTCCCAGAGCTCTCAAACTAATTTTTTTTTAACATATCAGTGACAGAGAGAGAGAGAGAGAGAGAGAGAGAGAGAGAGAGAGGAATCGCACAAAATACAAAAGTTATTTCTATTGCCCTTTAATGCATTCTATGAAGTCCTGACTTCTCTCTTCCTGCACCGGGCTTCAGAGTCGACTGACTTCTGTCGTGTTCTTTAGCCCACGTGAGATTAGGAAAACCATTAGTCTGGAACCTAGGCAACTGCCTTGGAGAGCCTCAGCCCATTGGTAATTTCATATGGTTGACCCTAGCAGAACGCAAAAGCCCAACCAGCATCAAGTGTAGAACCAGACTCAAAGTGCTGGTCTTTCCGTTCTAAAGTCACCGCTCATTCCTCCAAGCCATAGCAGTTTCTCCATGGTTTAAAAATAAAAGGTGGGGCTGGAGCGATAGTCCAGCAGGGAGGGCATTAACCTTGCACACGGCCGACCCGGGTTGGATCCCCGGCATCCCACACCCCATATGGTCCCCAGAGCACCGCCAGGAGTGATTCCTGAGTGCAGAGCTAGGAGGAACCCCTGTGCATCGCCAGGTGTGACCCAAAAAGCAAAGAAATAAAAAGAAAAAAGAAAAAAGAAAGAAATTTTAAAAACAATAAAATTTAAAAATTAAAATAAGAATTAAGGGCTGGAGCAATAGCACAGCGGGTAGGGCATTTGCCTTGCATGCGGCTGACCTGGGTTCAATCCCCGGCATTTCATATGGTCCCCCAAGCACCGCCAGGAGTAATTCCTGAGTGCAGAGACAGGAGGAACCCCTGTGCATCGCTGGGTGTGACCCAAAAAGAAAAAAATTAATTAATTAATTAATTTAATTAAATGAGAACTAATGAAAGGTTTCTTCTTAAAATCCAAAAAACAGGCTTTGAAAATTCCCTGCGTATAATTTGTAAGCACACACCCCAGAGAGTTGTCCCTCCAACTGTCCTAGGAACCTGTTTATGAAGAGACTATTTTGCCACGTTTTGCTAAGTAAGACGTTCGAGCACGGGGCAGATTCAGCACACCCAACCCGGGGAATGCTCAGAGGGTCTGCTCCAACCCGGCCAGGGCAGCTCCCGCTAGCAGGAAACCTGTGAAACAGCCCAAATCCAGGAGGAGAAGGGAGACGCTCATGAGAGGTGCGGCTGGTTTCCCACGCTGATGGGCAAAGTGTCCCTCACAGGAAAACACCTTTGCACGGGGCTCCTGGCTGCTCATTCCAGTCCAGTAAAAGAAGTTAAGATGCGGTTTCTTTACGCATCTTCCACACAGCTCAGTAGTTTCCACTTTAAAAGAACCTTCACCGGCACCCCTCTATGGTCTCCGGAGCTTCCCCAGGAGTAATTTCTGAGCACAGGGCCAGGAGTAATTTCTGAGCACAGGGCCAGGAATAATTCCTCAGCACAGAGCCAGGAGTAATTCCTGAAGAGCCAGGGGTAAGCCCTGAGCACTGTTGGATGTACCCCCAAATCCAAAAATAAATACTAAATAAAATGATCTCATGGAGTCCCTGTGGCGGAGGCTGAGCTCACGCCCTTCCTTTCTCCACGGGAACAGACAGGGAACCGGCGGGCCGGCAGGATTGGGTGGGGTGGGGGTGGGGGGGAATTGCCCTCACCCCTGTCAGTGCCAGCCAGCAGAGGCCAAGCTGGCAAAACCCTTCCCGAAACCGGGGAGGGGCTCACAGTGATGGAACTTGGATCCTGAGGAAAACCCTCCCTCGGGAAGCTCATGAAGAAACTGCCCCCGAGTCACGGGCAGAGGAGAGGCCCCTGGGGCCCCTGGACTCTCCTCAGAGCCCGCGTGGGTCCCGGCCCCTCCTCGCCCCTCTCCTGTCAGGGCCCTTGAAAGCCTCTTTCTCGGCGGCCCAGCTGCTGCCCTGAGCCTGAGAGCCTGGAGCCTGGCGCCCGAGAGGCGCCTGGTGGGCTGTGATAACAGGGCTCACAGATAAGGACTTCAGCCCGGGCGGCTGGGTCCCGTCCGTGTGTCCTGCACCCCGGCTCAGACAGACAGCGCCCAGCAGGGACAGGGGAGAGAGCCCACCTGGGAATATCGCTGCTGGTGCTGGCGGTGTCTTCTCCGATCCCCAGCTGCCTTTCGGAGCCGGAGCCCCACGCGTAGACTCTCCCTCTATGGTCCACGGCCAGGCAGTGCTCCTTGCCACAGCTCACCAGGGCAAACTGTAGAGTCTTCGCTGCCCAGATGGGTACTTGGGGACCCAAACAGGAAAGAAGAGCAGAAAACCCCACAGGGGATTCATTTACGACAGCGATTTCCACACCCCAGGCTCAAGCTGCATCCTGGTGTCCCCTCACCAGGCTGCCCGGCCAGTACCACGGCAGGGGCAAGTTCCACATGATGGCGGGCATCTGCCATGCCAGGACTGGCCGCGGGACCCCAAGCACTGTGGGGGGCGACTCTCAACAAAAGGCCCCCTCAGGCCAGAGAAAGGGAGAGTGCGCAGCAGGGAAGGGGGTCTCACACGAGGTGGCCAGGATCCCAGCTCCAGCACCACATATCCTGCCCTGAGCCTCGAAGGACCAGATCCCTGAGCACAGAGCCAGGAGGAAGCCCTGAGCACAGGTGTGGGCTCAACACACACACACGCACACACACACATGTACACACATGCATGTACACACGCATGCACACACATACGCATACACACAAGCACACATACACACATGCACTCACACACATGAATGCATGCGCAAACATACATATACACACATGCACATCCACATCCACACACGCACGCACACGCACACACATGCATGTATGCACACATGCACACACATATACACATGCACACACGCACGCATGCACACACATGCATGCACACACGTACACGTACACACGCATGCGCACGCATGCACCATGCACATGCATGCACACACAATTGTACATGCATGCACGCACACACATGTATGCACACACATGCACGCACACATATACATACACAATACACACATGCACACACACTCACACATACATGCACATGAACACACATGCATGCACCATGCACACACATGCACACACGATTGTACATGCATGCATGCACACAATGCACACACATATACACACACGCACATACACATACACACATGCATGCAGGCACACACATATGCATGCACACACATGCACGCACACACACATACATACATGCACATGAACACACACACGTACCCACACACATGCACAAGCATACACAAACACACACACACACACAAAATAGGTTCACACACCAAATCAGTTGGGAAAGTAACAGAGAAGCTCAAGGAACATCATCAATGGCACAGAAGGCTCAGCAACAACAGCTCAGTGAACCCCCAGACAAGGACGAAATGACCCCACGGTGGGATAGAACAATTTTCATAAATTTCCTTTGACTGCAGTATTTTTTTAAATTTATAAGCCTTGTAGTTGTAGTAAGGAATATCAAATAAATGATTTTGTTCCTACCAAGGGGGCAGGCATGGGGGGGGGGGGTGGTTGGGAAAACGGGACTGTGGAGGAGGGATGGTCCCTCCAGGGGTGGGCTGGGGCTGGAACCGTTTTACGAACAACTCTAAACACGGTGCTTAAATAAAGGAAAACAAATAAAAACCCTCACCCAGATTTGTCTCTTCCAGTAGTTTTTTTTTTTTAAATCAAGGCCCAAATTCATCCTTACAGGAAGAAAAAAGACACTTTCAGCGTGTTTTCGATACTTGTGGGAAGTAGCTACTTATTTAAGAAGGTGAGGTGGGTCAGAGAGCCAGTAAGTGGTGGGGCACGGGCTTTGCAGGCGGGAGGCCTGGGTGCAATGCCGGCACCATGGATGTGTGCCCTGAGCACTGCCCAGCGTGGCCCCTGAATATAGAGTCAGGCACAGGCCCTCGGCACCCGGGGGCGGGGGGCGCCTAAAGAAAGGACATGGGCAGGTAAGGGGGGGGCCCGTGTTCCCTCCCTGGCCCCACGATTCCCAGCACCATCTGGGGAACCAGGACTCTTGGCCTAGCACGTCTCCGGGCAGGGGAGAAACGCGGCCCAGCAAAGTTGCTGAGGAAACCAGGGGCTCACGTCCAGGCCACCCCTGTGCTCCCCAGCCCCACACTGATGGAGAGCCTCAAGGTGGGGAAGTAGCGGTGTGCAGGGCTGGAGGCAGGCAGGGGACACCCTCACTCAGAAGTGGGTCTCATTCTGGTCCATATTTGGCCAGGGCCGGCCAAGGAAATCCTGGTCGCATCGCCCTCTCGGTGAATGCAAACCTCTCCCCAAAGAGCTCGTCACTGCATTATGAGGGGCGTGGAATTGAGAGCTCCTCCTTAACCACACGTGACGGCCTCTCAGTATCTGCATTGCAAACCATAGTGCCCCAAAGTAGAGAGGGTATGGGGGGAGACTGTCTGCCATGGAGGCAGGGGGAGGGTTCGAAACGGGAAGGTATACTGGAGACATTGGTGGTGGAAAATGTGGGCTAGTGGAGGGTTGGTGTTTGATCACTGTGTGACTGAAACTCTAACAGGAAAGCTTTGTAACTGCATTCTCACGGTGATTCAATTTTATTTATTTATTTATTTTTTAACATAGGAGTACTGCTATTTATTCAGCCACTGGTTAGCTGATTGACAGTGATTCGATTTTTTTAAAAATAAATGATAAAAAAATTTTAAAAAATCTTCACGATCACGACCATCCTGTTGTTCGTCGATTGCCTCGAGCAGGCCTCAGTAACGTCTCCTTCGTCCTAGCCCTGAGATTTTTTTTTTTTAAGTGCCATATTGAAGGCTCTTTCAGGGTTAGGAGAATGAGACCCATCATTGTTCCTGGTATTTGGCATATTGGGTACGCCACGGGGAGTTTGCCAGACTCTGCCGTGTGGGCAGGTTACATTCGGTAGCCTGCCAGGTTGTCCCAAGTAGGAATGAGATAATAAGAGAATAATAAAAATCTTACTGAAATAAAATGTCAGATTAAAAAACAAAAAAGAAGGGGCTGGAGTGATAGCACAGTGGGTAGGTCGTTTGCCTTGCACGCGGCCGACCCGGGTTCGATTCCCAGCATCCCATATGGTCCCCTGAGCTACTGCCAGGAGTAATTCCTGAGTGCAGAGCCAGAAGTAACCCCCGTGCATTGCCAGGTGTAACCCAAAAAGAAAAATAAATAAATAAATAAATAAATAAAATTTTTAAAAAAAGAACACCTCCTTATCAGCAACGCTTCTGTCCCCCTTGATCTTTGCTGGGTCATCTTACTCCTTTCAACGGTTTCCTTTCAAACAATGCAGCCGAAACAAAGCAAAGCAAAAATGTCCCACAGACAGATAAAGTGACATCACTTCCCTAAAGAGCACTTTAGCATTAAGGTTCTCCGAGACCCTATTCCTGCCCGACAGGGATCTGGATATGATACCCCAAAGTCTGCTGCCTTCGTTGTTGGTATGTTTGGGGGAATCATTTTGAGATGAAGAATTATTTTGAGATGAGGGCAAACGAAAATCAAGAGTTGTAGGAAGAGTTCTCTGCCCTGCCCTCGTTTAACAAAGTGCAAGACAGTCATTTCCCTTGTGGTTTTTGGGGTTTGAAGTTTAGGTTTTGAGGCCACACCCAGGGGTGCTCAGTGCTTACTCCAGGCTGTGAGCTCAGGTGGGCTTTGGGTACCGTGTGGGGTGCCGGGGATAAACCCAGATGGACTGCGTGCAAGACTACTTCCCTCCTGAAGAAGTCACCCTCTCCCCTAAGTGACTCCTGGGCAGGCCTGAGATGAGTCAGCATAACCGGCCCTCAGGCACTCCTGGGGTGACTCAGTACACACACAGCCCTTGGAAGGGGACTCTGGGGCCAGGGAGAGAGTGCAGCTGTAAGGTGCTTCCTTCACGGCACCCAGCAGCCAGGAATGCTCCTGAGCACTGTGGGTGAAAAGAAATAAATGAGTTCCTAGCTTCCCCTAGTGTCTCCTCCATTTCGAGTCTCTGCCGGCCTGTGCTGCCCCTCAGAGCCCACACTCCTCTCCGCGATGAAAAAGGGCTGTGGCCGCCCTGGAGGATGACCTCTCTCCTCTTTGAATCACTGCAAAGTCCCTCGCACAAAATATTCATGAGAATGTCTGCAGGGTCTCCTGTCGGTCTGTCTCTGGACATTGAGCCCAGAGCCCTGTCCCTGCCCCTTAACTCGGTCTGAGGCCTAGGAGAGGTGTCCACTACCTCCAGTGCCCTCCACCCACCAAGACAGACCAATATGGGTTGGGGGTGGATCAGAGGGTCCCGGATCAGGGATCCATCCAAGAACCCCCAGCACCTGCCCCAGGTGTAGCCCCAACCCCCAAAACAACCCCAAAAAGGTGCATCAGCAGCACCTAGAAGGGCCTCTTGTCATTTCTTCTCCAAAAGGAATGAGATATTTGGCCCAATATTTATTTTTCAATAATGTCAATTATAAGCTGGAGCGATAGCACAGTGGTAGAGCGTTTGCCTTGCATGCAGCCAGCCCGGCGGCTGAGCCAGGTTTGATTCCTTTTCCTGTCTCGGAGCCAAGCTACCCGCCCGCATGGCAAAGCCTGGCAAGCTCCCCGTGATGTATTCGATATGCCAAACACAGTAACAACAAGTCTCAAAAGTGGAGATGTTACTGGGCCCGCTCGAGCAAATCGATGAAGGACGGGAGGACAGTGACAGTGACAATGTCGATTATACTCCACCCCAGACTGTGGGGCGGGTGAGAGCCCTCCCCACCCCAAGGGTGAGAGCCCTCCCAACCCCAGCAGCCGACCTCCACTGTTCAACCACCACTATGCTCCAGGTTGCTTTCCGGACGCTCAGGCAGAGCCTCACGCAAGAATGAAGTCCCACGGAACCCAGGAACTTTGTGACCTTGGACTCTGGACTCAGTGGGACCCGGAACAGAGATCCTCTGCCTGCTTCCCCCAGTCTCCAGAGACTCAGGGATCACACCCATAAGCCACACCCTGCTGGCACCAGATAAGCTCCTCATCGGTCACCTTCCAGAACTCAGGATGCTTCTCCCAGCAGGAGTATAAAAGGAGGCCCCCAGAACCATGCCACCAGACTCCATGCCAGGCTGTGGGGTCAGCGAGAGCCCTCCCCACCCCAAGGGGACCCTGCCCTGGCAGCCGACTGACCTCCACTGTCCAACCACTGCCATGTTCCAGGCCGCTTTCCGGGCCATGCCATTATTAGACACTTCCTACCCATTTATGCCTCTCGGAGAGCCCGGCAAGCTACCGAGAGTATCCCGCCCGCACGGGCAGAGCCTGACAAGCTCCCCATGGCGTATTCAATATGCCAAAACCAGTAACGACAACAGGTCTCATTCCCCTGACCCTGAAAGAGCCTCCAATTGTTGGGAAAAGATGAGTAACAAGAGGCTGCTAAAATCTCAGGGCTGGGAGAAATAGAGATGTTACAGGCACTCGCTTGAGTAATTCGGCGTTCAAAGGAATGACAGTGATACAGTGACAGTCAATTATAAGTATTGATTAAAAGAGTTTCTGACGGGGGGAGGGGTTGTAATTTTGCAGAAAGTTAGAAAAACTTAATTGGGTTATTCGCTGATAAGGATTTAAATTTTTTTTTTTTAGGTACATGCTTGTGGGCATGCGAAATTGCTCGAAGGGCCTGGTTTCATTCTGCCTCACATGGTGGTGCCCACCTTAGTAGTCCCCCAAATCCCACAGGGTATAACCCCAAATTAAGCAATAATAGATGACATTTTCATTATACTATTGTCTGGTAAAAGCGCATGATTACAGCATATAGATAACTACAGCACTGTAGGAAGGTCCTCCCAATTGTTCATCAATTTGCTCGAGCGGACACCAGTAACGTCTCCATTGTGAGGCTTGTTGTGACTGTGTTTGGCACATCGAATACACCACGGGCAGCTTGCCAGCCTTTGCCGTAGGGGCGAGATATTCTTGGTAGCTTGCCAGGCTCACCCAGAGGGATGGAGGAATCGAACCCGGGTAGAGGCAAACACCCTACCCACTGTGCTATCGCTCCAGCCCATAGATAACTATATAGTAAAATTATTTTTAAGGTGAAATTAGTTATATTTAGAGTAATCAGAAAGATGGGGGGTGGAGAGACAGAGCCGGAAAGGAACTTCCCCTAGGAGGAAGTTTAAATGTAGGCGCGCACCAGACACGGGGGCGGGCGAGGGGGCCGCTCTCTTTGGGGCAGCAAAGGCGGGCGGGGGTCGTGCGCTCCTCAGTAAGGGTCAAGTGCCACCAAACGTCTGTTTTCTATTCCGAGAAGACCAACCAGCCCGCCCAGGTGCTCGCGAGAGCGAGAGGCAGCGCGGGCCGCCGCCGCGGAGAAGGAAACAGAAAGCGAAACGCGCGGGACCGGAGAAACGAAACCCGGAGGAGCGCGCCCAGCCGAGCGCACGGAGCCGAGCGCGCCGGGCACAGCGCCACCCGCTCCCGCTCGCTCCGCGCGTCCCGGACCCTCTTCCCGCGTCCCCGACCCACTCCCCGCGTCCCGGACCCTCTTCCCGCGTCCCCGACCCACTCCCCGCGTCCCGGACCCAAGCCCCGCATCCCGGACCCTCTTCCCGCGTCCCGGACCCTCTTCCCGCCTCCCGGACCCTCTCCCCGCGTCCCGGACCCTCTTCCCGCGTCCCGGACCCTCTTCCCGCCTCCCGGACCCTCTCCCCGCATCTCGGACTCTCTCCCCGCCTCCCGGACCCTCTCCACGCGTCGCCGACCCTCTCCCCGCGTCCCGGACCCACTCCCTCCATCCCGGACCCACTCCCCGCGTCCCGGACCCTCTTCCCGCGTCCCCGACCCACTCCCCGCGTCCCGGACCCAAGCCCGGCATCCCGGACCCTCTTCCCGCGTCCCGGACCCTCTTCCCGCCTCCCGGACCCTCTCCCCGCATCTCGGACTCTCTCCCCGCCTCCCGGACCCTCTCCACGCGTCGCCGACCCTCTCCCTGCGTCCCGGACCCACTCCCCCCATCCCGGACCCACTCCCCGCGTCCCGGACCCTCTTCCCGCGTCCCCGACCCACTCCCCGCGTCCCGGACCCAAGCCCCGCATCCCGGACCCTCTTCCCGCGTCCCGGACCCATTCCCGGCATCCCGGACCCGCTTCCCGCATCCCGGACCCTCTCCTTGCATCCCGGACTCTCTCCCCGCATCCCGGACTCTCTCCCCCCATCCCGGACCCTCTCCCCGCCTCCCGGATCCTCTCCCCCCATCCCGGACCCACTCCCCCCATCCCGGACCCTCTCCCCGCATCCCGGACTCTCTCCCCGCATCCCGGATCCTCTCCCTGCATCCCGGACCCACTCCCCGCATCCCGGACCCTCTCCCTGCATCCCGGACCCACTCCCCGCATCCCGGACCCTCTCCACGCATCCCGGATCCTCTCTTCGCATCCAGGACCCTCTTTCCGCATCCTGGACCGTCTCCCCGCGTCCCGGACCCTCTCCCCGCATCCCGGACCCGCTCCCCGCGCCCCGCCCCGGTCGCCCCCCACTCACCTGGCTCCTCGCGCGCTCCGCCCCGGACGCCCAACTGACCGCGGCTGTTGTCCCCGCTGGCCCGCACCTCGCCGTTGCTCAGGAGCACCAGAAAGTGGCCCTCGCCGCTGGCCGCCTGCAGCAGCTGCCCGCAGGTCAGGCTCTCCCGCCCGCTCCCGCCCGCCCGCCAGCAGAAGGACGGGCCCTGTTCCCGCGCGCGCCCAGCCATCGCCCCGAGCCCCGTCCAGCCCCGCCGCCGGCCAGTGACCAGTGACCAACGGCCCGCGCTGGCGTCGGGGCCCAGAGGCCGCGTCCCCGCCCCTCCCCGCCCCTCCCCGCACTCCCTCCCCGCCCCGCGCCGCCGCCCAGCGAGGCCCCCACCGGCCAGGGGTGCGGACACCCCGAAAGGTCCAGGAATTCCCGAGCTAAAGCCCCCCGACCCCCGCTTCCCCGGGCTCTCCCGCCCCCGGGACTGGGGGCCCTGGGCGCATCGCGCTCAAAGGAAAAATGTTATCAGCTCAGTGCAGCTGGCGGCCCCCAAACAGTTTCCGTTAAGCTGGGCACAGGTGCTTCGTGTGCCGGTGGGTGAGCAGAGGCGACGCTGGCAGGGACCCGGGCAGAGGAAACTGCGTGTTTGGAGACGTCCCGGGTTCCCCTCGGGGGGGCTGCGCGCGCTGGAACGCAGCTGCGGGGCAGAGCGCGGGACGCGCCCACGGGTGTGAACCTGGGGCCAGAAAGGTGCGGGCTGCTCGCGGGTTTACGCTCTCTTGGACCCTGCCCGGTTGGGGGCACACCGACCCCTGGCAGCCCGCGGCACTGGCGGACCTGGATGCGCGGGGACCTGCGTGGGGGGCCGGGCAGAGCGTCACGCCGGCCCTCCTCCGTGGGAGACGAGCGCAGGGGCTGTTCCGGCTGGCGTGGAGCGCAAGCCAAGAGAAAGACAAGGTCACGGGCTGGAGTGACAGCGCAGCGGAGAGGGGGCTCCATCCCCAGACTCCCGAGTGGTCCCCTGAGCACCTCCAGGTCTGACTCCTGAGTGCAGAGCCAGGAGGAAGCCGAGCGTGGGTGTGGCCCCAAAAACAGAAAGGAAAGGAAAGAGAGAGAGAAGGAAAGAAGGAAGAAAGGGAAGAAGGAAAAGAAAGGAAAGAAAGGGAAGAAAGAAAGAAAGAAAGAAAGAAAGAAAGAAAGAAAGAAAGAGAAAGAAAGAAAGAGGAGAGGGAGAAGGGAGGAAAAAAGAGGAGAGAAAAGAAGAAGAAAAGGAAAGAAAGAATGAAAGAAAGAAATAAAAAGAAAGAAAGGAGAGGGAGGAGGGAAAAAGAGAGAAAGAAGAAGAAAAGGAAAGAAAGACAGAAAGAAAGAAAGATGGAGGTATGGTGCCGTCAGCAGGTCAATCTGTACCTGTGAGGTGAGTGCATCAGCAGCCTGATGACACCGTCAGACTTTCAGATACCCCAAAATTACTGCTGTGCTTTTGGCCAGACCCCAAAAACTTGGGGCAAAGTTTACCAACAAAGTAAATGGACAAAAGTTAGGTATGTGGGAGACACACCCACAAACCACTCTGGCTCAGCTATATAATTGGAGGCATGGGCTCTCTGGTTCCTGATTGAACTGCTTAACGGCCATGATCCCAGAGGCTCAGAAACAAATCTTGGAACTCAGCGGCTTTTGGCAGAAATGCGTCCGGTCCCTGCAGTAGGTTACCGGTGCTGGGCCAACCCAGGTGGGAATAGGTTTCGTGCCCTGGCCTGTTCCCCCCGGCGACCCAGTGGCCGTCATCCTCCTGAGTCCACTGGACAATCAGATTTGGGCTCCCAGTGATGAGACACGCAGGGCCTTACGGGATGGGGGTAGAGCCGGGCCTGTCCTCCCCACCCCAATGAGACCCCAAGTCATCGCCCACGAACGGCCTCTCTGGCTCCTGATCAAGCTGCTTAACGGCCATGATCCCAGAGACTCAGAAACAAGTCTCGAAACCCAACAGCTTTTGGCAGAAATGCGTCCAGACCCCGCAGTAGGTTACTGTTGCCGGGCCACCCCAGCGGGGAAAGGGTATTGTCCCTCTGCCTGCTCCCCCTTGGTGGCTCGGTGGCCATCATTCTCCAGAGGCCACTGGACAGTCAGGTCTGGGCCCACAGTGACGAAACTTGTTGGGTCTCACAGGATGGGGCTGGAGCCAGTCCTGGTCTCCCCATCCCAACGAGACTCCAAGTCACCACCCACAAACGGCCTCTCTGGCTCCTGATCAAGCTGCTTAATGACCAGGATCCCAGAGACTCAGGAACAGATCTCGGAACCTAGCAGGTTTGGGCAGGAAATCTCTCCAGATTTAAGTCTTAAAATTTCGGAATTTCAAAATTGTGCAGCCACTAGTGCAACCGTGTGACATCATATATTATTCATGACCAGCAATAGAAAACAAATTGTCTACTGTTGCCTTTTTGGCAGATCTGAGTGTTGGGGTAAAATCTCAAATAATGGTGTGTCTGGTGTCAAAATATTGAATGTGATCAAAGTAGAGAGAGAGTAATGTGGAAATCATCTGCCCTACAGGTAGGGGGAGGGTGTGGGATGGGGGTATACTGGGGTTGTTGGGGGTGGAGAATGGGCACTGGTGAAGGGACGGGTGTTTCATTGTATGACCGAGACTTAGACCCGGAAGCTTTGTAACTGCTCTCACGGTGATTCAATAAATAAAATTATATAAAGTAAGGTGGAGCTCATGCACAATTCAATCAGCTAATCAGTGGCTGAATAAATAGCAATACTCCTACATAAGAAAGAAAGAAAGAAAGAAAGAAAGAAGGAAAGAAACAGAAAAAGAAAGAAGAGAAAGAAAGGAGAGGGAGAAGGGAGGGAAAAAGAAGAGAGAAAAGAGGAAGAAAAGGAAAGAAAGAAAGAAAGAAAGGAAGGAAGGAGAGAGAAAGGAAGGAAGGAGGATGGGAGGGAAGGAAAGGGAGAAAAGAGGAAAAAAGTGCGTTGTGGGGTCAAGGGTTGTGGGGCTGGGATGTACACTGGATGCCTGGAACTATTTTGAACAGTTCCTTAAACCCTGCTGCCTTAATAAAGATAATGCACAGAGAGAGAGAGAGAGAGAGAGAGAGAGAGAGAGAGAGAGAGATAGTGTAGTATTGGGGGGCGGTGCTTGATTTCCACAGGGATAACCCCAGTTTGACCCTTGGCACCCTATACGGTTCCCTAAGACCCCCCAGGAACGATCTCTGAGCACTGCCGGGTGTGGCCCCAAAACAAAACAAGTGTGTGTGTGCCTGTGCGTGCATGCGTTTGCATATGTACACGTGTGTGTACACACACCCATGTGTCCCAACACCCAATATGGTCCCCTGAGCCCCACTAAGAGCGATCCCTGACATAGAGTCAGGAGTAAGCCCTGAGCATCACCAGGAGTGGTCCTTTATTCTCCCCACAATAAAAATAAGAAATCAATTCACCAAAGCAGATGACTCAAAAGTAGTTCAGATCACCCAAAACTTTTAAAATATGGAAGTGTGGAAGTGAGCACAGGGCCGGGGCCTCCTCTGGGCGTGGAGTCGAGGCACCTGCCTGTATCTACACCACGAGGGCCAGCACCACTGCACGCAGGGGACCCAGATCCTCGTCATTGAACCCAGGGATGTTTCTGTTCGGCACGTAGGGCGCTTGTCTTGCATGTGGCCGACCCAGGTTTGATCCCCGACACCCCATGTGGTTGCCCTGAGCATCGCCAGGTGTGGCCCAAAAACAAACAAAAAAATTTAATGTTTCTATCAAGGGGGGGTGGGAAGGAATTTGGGGTCAGAGGTGGAGGGTTGGGGGTCACAAGGGTGGTGGGATTGGAGGTGGGAACATTCTAGGCGTGAGGTCCTAATGTAAACTGTGAGGTCCAAAAGCAGGCTCCTCAGAAGCCAGGACAAGCTGCAGTTAACCTGAAGTCTCAGGCAGGCCTCAGTTTCTGTTTCCCCAGAGCTGGAATGCAGTTTCTGGTAAACTCCCAGTGGAGTAATTAACCTAGATAAGAAACTGGGTAGTTGGATCTGTACAATCATGAGGGGTTGCCACACCCTTCTTGTAAAGAACCCCAAACTGTTCCTGGTACCTGCTGTCTAATTGCTGACCACTATTGTAATAGGGCAATGCTAAAAATAGACCAGGGGCTGGAGAGATAGCACGGCGGGTTGGGCGTTTGCCCTGAACGCCGCCAACCCGGGTTTGATTCCCAGCATCCCATATGGTCCCCTGAGCACTGCCAGGGGCAATTCCTGAGTGCAGAGCTGGGAGTATCCCCTGTGCATCGCCAGGTGTGACCCAAAAAGCAAAAAATAAATAAATAAAAAATAAAAATAGACCAGGATATAAACCGCTTCTTGACTGAACCCCATATAAACTGCTTGTGATTTGGAGTCGGGGTCCTTGTCAAGACTCCACTGCGTTGGATGAGGCTTGAACCCTAGCTCGGGCTAGCAATAAAGCTCCTTTGCTTTTGCATTATGGTGTGTGGACTCAGTCTCTCCGCAACTGGGGATCTGAAACTTGGGCACAACAAAACAACTTCATACATCACGGTGTCTACGAAAGTCAGATCAAAATGGATTAAAGGCCTCAGTCTCAGACCTGAATCCATAGGGTACAGGGAGGAAAACACAGGCAGAACCTTCCATGACATTGAAGCTAAAGGCATCTTCAGAGATGAAACACCACTGACCAAGCAAGTGGAAGCAAAGGTAAACCAATAGGACTACACTGAAATGAGAAGCTTCTGCACCTCAAAAGAAATGGAGACTAAAATACAGAGAACAAGAAATGAGCGAGAAAAATTACTTACCCAATACCCATCAGATAAGGGGTTAACATCCAAGATATGTAAGGCACTGGTAGAACTTTACAAGAAAAAAGAAAATCCAACCCCATCAAAAAACAGGGAGAAGAAATGAACAACAACTTCCTCAAAGAAATACAAATGGCCAAAAGGCACATGAAAAGATGTTCTACATCACTAATCATCAGGGAGATGCAAATCAAAACAACAATAAGATATCATCTCACACCCCAGAGACAGGCACACATCCAAAAGAACAAGAGCAACCAGTGCTGGTGCAGGTGTGGGGAGAAAGGGACTCTCCTTCACTGCTGGTGGGAATGCCGACTGGTCCGGCCTTTTTGGAAAACAATATGGACATTCCTCAAAAAACTACAACTTGAGCATCCATACGGCCCAGCAATACCGCTTCT